CTTGGCCGCGTGTTTCCAGGTGCCTGTGGCTGTCATTCCTAGTGGCAGTTGTGCTGCTGTCTGCCTGTCTTTCTGTTCAGGGACTTGTGGCGTGGTTGACATCTGAGCTACCACTCACCTATTGTCGTTTTAAACCTCGGGGCAGTCAATAGCGTCTCTGAGCCACTTTCTGACGCGCTTAGAATGGGTGGGTTTTCTCCCCCCAAGTTCTGTGGTTGGTAATGCAGGTGATACGCTCGCATAGTGTGAAGTAAACATCAGTGTCTTTAGCTCGGTCACGTTGGCATGACACACTAAGCCCACGTGTAAGAAGTGGGTTCTTTCAGGTTCGCGGACATTTACACTCAGGCATCCCTTTCTCTCTCCCGACCAGCCGGTGGGGACCTGACCGTGTCCCTGACGGACGGGAGCTTGGCCACCCTGGAAGGCATCCAGCTGCAGCTGGCTGCTAACTTGGTTGGCCCAAATGTGCAGATTTCCGGGATCGACGCCTCCAGCATTAACAACATCACCCTGCAGGTACGGCACGTGCCTCGGCGACCTGTGTTTTACTCTTGCCTACGTCGCACACGGCATTTTCACTCCTGTGTCTGTGCTCTTGCAGATCGACCCGAGTATTTTGCAGCAAACATTACAGCAGGGTAACCTGCTCGCTCAGCAGCTCACGGCGGAGCCTGGCTTGGCCCCACAGAGCAGCTCTCTTCAGGCCCCAGACAGCACAGTCCCTGCTGGCGTCGTCCTCCAGCCCATCCCAGGCCTGTCCTTGCAGCCCACGGTGACGTCTGCGAACCTGACCGTCAGCCCGCTGTCTGAGCAGGACCCCGTGCTCCCCACCAGCGGCAGCGGTGAGCCACTCACTTGAATGATTTCCTTTTCCTCTGTGTTTGGAGTGTGCATGTGCTCACCAGAGAGAGAGGGGGGGAGAAAAGAGAGAGCACACCCTACGGGGAATGGCCACACCCTCCCTGTCCTCCATCTCTCCCTCCTTCAGGGTTCTGGGGACACGTGCACGGTGGCCGGCATGTTTCTTAAGCTTCCAGGTCCAGGGCTCCAGTGGCGTGGTCAGCTGCTTATCTCCCAGACCACGTGCCATTTCCTACAATAGCTGGAGTTCTGGCTCCTTGCTAGTCATGGCAGACTGGCTTTGGGTACTTGGCCACTGCTTTCTCGTCTCTGTTAAGCTCTCCAAATGAACCAAGTGTCCTGTGCCCAGAGTGAGCTTTTCTTCGTTGGGCCTGTTCACGTGTGCGTGGACCGCTGCATTCGTGGAGCTGCCCGTTCTGTGTGGCCTCCCGCTCCACCTCAGGGCTCTGCTTATATTTATAGAGCTAACTACAAATGACGGGCTAATCTGAATGTTTTTCTTTTGAAATAATAACTTAATGAAGATGTTTTAATAAAAAAGGAGGACAGTGTCTTTAAAGTGTGCCTTTGTTTTGCTTTGTGATGATGCTCAGGGACCCAAGACCTGGCGCAAGTGGTGACCTCTCCAGGACTGGCATCGGCCTCTGCGGGCCCCCACGAGATCACCTTGACCATTAACAACTCCAGTCTCAGCCAGGTCCTGGCACAGGCTGCTGCGCCCACCACAGCGCCGTCATCGGGGTCTCCCCAGGAAATCACTCTGACTATCTCTGGTGAGCAGCCCCAGCCCCTCCACCCTGCACCTTCCCCTACGCCGTCCGTTCACCCTCCTCGTCCTCCTCCCCGTGACACACGACCGCGCGGGGAGCCCTCGCTCACTGAACGCTAGAAACGTAGGAGAGACTGAACTTCAGAGATCATGTGTTGTGATTCACATCCAACACCAGAGATTAAAATGCAGTTTCTCACGTCACTTCCTGTTCAGGTAGAGATGATTCATTTTTAATTTCCAGAGAATCTGTAATTGTTGTCTCATATTTTTAGTGAAGACCAAGAAAGTAGGTCCATCACTCTTAACCCATACTCTATTACTCCGACAGGACCTTATTGGTGTGTGGGACCTGCTAGGTACTTACATGTGCTGTGACTGGGCCTCAGAGGTGCCCGTGGTGTACACTGTGCAACGGGCCCTCGGAGGATCCTGTGTACACTATGCACGGGGCCCTGGAGGATCCTGTTACACTGTGCACCGGGCCGTCGGAGGTAATCCTGTTACACTGTACACCAGGCCCTTGGAGGTAATCCTGTTACACTGTGCACCAGGCCCTCAGAGGTAATCCTGTGTGCACTGGGTCCTCGGAGGTAATCCTGTTACACTGTTCACTGGGCCCAAAGGTAATCCTGTGTGCACTGTGCACTGGGCCCAGAGGTATTCTGTGTGCACTGGGCCCTCAGAGGCAGTTCTGTGTACACTGTGCACTGGGCCCTCCGAAGTAATCCTGTTATACTGTGCTCTGGGCCCAGAGGTAATTCTGTGTGCACTGGGCCCTCAGAAGTAGTTCTGTGTACACAGTGCGCTGGGCCCTCAGAGGTGCCTGTAGTGTACACTGAGCACTGTGCTCTCATAGATACCTGTTGTCCTCATCTCTGTTCAGAATTCCAGTTATGTATGGAGAAAATTAAAAATTTGGTAGGCCTTTCTCATGAGCTGAGCAGGCAGAAAAGACTTTGGACAGGAAAGTCTTTAGGAATTTGCACCTCTGTCCTGCACATCAAGGCCTCATGGGTGACCGTGTCCATCCTGCACTTTGGTTCCAAGGCCGCTCACCCTATCTCGAGGCTCCCGTGTATCCTCAGTTTGCATGCTCCATAATCCACATACTTCGCTGGTCTCTGTTGGATGTGCTCATCTAAGAGTTACCTGGCCCCCGCATTCTCCACTACAAGCTACATTAGCTGATAGTCATTTTATAATTTAACAATTTCCATAGCCCTTCTACATTCCAGCCGTTATTCCAGTAACTTATACACATGTCACATAAGCCTAATAACCCCTTTATGAGGAGGTTAAGAAAAACTTTTTTTTTAATCCAAATAAGCTCATAGAGATAATGTGTGGGAGGTGTCCTGTGTCCCTGAACAACGTGAGAATAATGACCGATGGGACACTGGACTGACCGCAGGAGGTTCATTCACAATTGTGTTTCTGTTTCCATGAGATTTCTGCACGTATTAATACTGGAACTGAGTGAAAAGTTACACAGAAGAAAACCAAAGGCTTTCTTTTCCATGAGAGTGTCTTTATTTTTTTATGTGTGAAGGTCTTGAGAAACTATTTTTGCATGAAACGATTTCCAAATAGCATGCTGAGATTTTTACATGCCACTGGACAGCAGAAACTAATATTAAATTTTGTGTAATTCAGTAACCTTCCTCCTTCTGTCATGCATATATATGTATATTCCTGAAATTTAATATCAAAATACAGAAGAGGGATTTTAAGAAAACTTTTATTGATGAGGTTTTTTTTGTTTTAAATGTCATTTTATTTATTATCATAATCTTTTTTGTATCACATTTTTTTTTTTGAGATGTTTTTGCTATAGGGCGTGTGCGCTCGCCAGAAAGACGGAGAGAGACAGAGAGACAGAAAGCAAGAACTCACCCCCCAGGGGGGATGGCCATCCTGCAACCCCTTCTCCTCCATTCTCCTCTTGAGATCTTGGACACGCACGCACATGCGCCCAGCGTGAGTTTAAGTCACCGTGTCCAGGACTTGAACTACATGTAGTCGACTACATGGGCGTCCAGCGACATAGCCATTATGCTAACTGCTGGTCCAGAATCATATATATCTTTACAGTGTAATACATTTTTTTTCCAGCACAATTATCATGCACATCAGTCAAGACAAAGACATTACTATCCACATCATCACCATCATCAGATAGCTTTTCATCATTTTTTTCAGATTATTATTATTATTATTTATTCTCATTATTTTTTTAAGCATTCAATCACTATATGTCATTCGGGTTGTATAAAGAATTTACCCAACATGAAATACTTTTCAGACTAGTCCAGTTGAGAATACATGTTATCATCAACAGGTAATAAACCATTTCTGTGTCCCACTAATGTCATGCCTCTCTATTTGTTCTCTTGCTGTCCACTTCCCTTCTCCTGCCCCATTCTGCATGGTCTTCAGTATCCATAACTATTTTCACTGCTTTTATGCCCTCCAGTACTTCGATCTCTACCGTAAAGTGCGGCTAGTCAGTATATATCAAGAGGATACATACAATATCTTTCTTTCATATCCTGGTTTGCTTCACTCAGCAATAGATCCTCCATATTTGACCACTTTCTATCTAATGCCAGGGTCTTTTTTTTTTTTTGTCTGTTTTCAATGACTGAGTAGTATTCCATAGAGTATATATGCCACACTTTTTCCACCCATTCATCTGTTTGGACATTTAGGTTGGTTCCATGTCTTAGTGATCGCCAATAATAGTGCATTAAACATTGATGTGCAAGTGCTTTTCCGACTGAGCATTCTCCTGTCCTTTGGGTAGATACCCAGAAGTGGGGTTGCTAGGTCAAACTGTAGTTCTATTTGTAGGTCTTTGAGGAATCTCCATATTGTTCTTCACAGTGGCTGAAGCAGTTTACATTCCCACCAACAGTGTAGGAGAGTTCTCCTTTCACCACATCCCCGCCAAACTTTATCACTTTTTGTATTTTTAATTTTTGTCATTCTGACAGGGGTTAGGTAGTATCTCATTGTGTTTTTTGTTTTATTTTGTTGGTTTTTTTTAGAGAGGTTTTTGCTATAGGGTGCGTGTGCTCACCAGAGAGACAGAAAGTGAGAAATCACCCCTCAGGGGGGATGGCCACACTGCAATCCCTTTTCCTCCATTCTCCTCTCGGGATCTTGGGCATGCGCTTGCCAGACAGATAGAGACAGAGAGACAGAAAGCAAGAAATCACCCCCCAGGGGGGATGGTCACGCTGCAATCTCTTCTCCATTCTCCTCTCGGGATCTTGGGCACGCACGCACATGTGCCTCACGTGAGTTTTAAGTGCCCCTGGGTCTGGGACACGAACTGCGGTCAACTACATGGGAGTCCAGCAACATAGCCATTATGCTAACTGCTAGTTCCCAAAGTGCGCTGTTTTGACAGGATGGAAAAGTTGGGCAGAACAGACTCATGGGCTCCGCGGCTCTGTTCTGGCTGTGAGCATCTTGGCTGCTGTCACTCGGCTGGGAAGGCGATCAGTGGTCCTCTGTGCTGGTTGTCCCTCCAGGACCTGCCACAGCAGCCCTCCGCAAGCACGAGCTGGCCTGGCCACCGTGCTGATGGCACCGGCACCAACAGGTGTTTCCTAATGACAACGTACTCTTCTGCTGGCCCAGGTTTTCTTTCATTTAGAATCCTAGACTTTTTTGTTGTTCTTTTAGAGCCAGCTGAGGAAATTTTTCTTTTTTTATGCTACTTTAGCTTATATCTGAGGTATTAAATTTTTTCCCAAGCTTTTGTTGTAGGGTACATGTGCTCACCAGGCAGAGACAGAGACACTGCGAGGAAAAGTGAGAAATTACTCCCCAGGGAGGATGGCTATGCTACAATCCCTTTTCCATTTATCCTCCTGGGATTTTGGGCATGCACATGTACCTGGTGTGAGTTTCAAGGCACCAGGTCCAGGACTTGAATGGTCGGCCATGTGGGAGTCTAGTGACGTTACTGCTTTGCCATCTGCTGACCCCAGCCAGGTGTGATTCTAGCCATCAAGTCTAGAACACTAACCATGAAGCTGGCCATGTGGCATCTAGTGCTATGTGTTGGCCCTACCATTTTAAAATTCTTTATGTAAGCAGGGCTTGGCTAAGACTCATCAGCTTCCAGGTTATCTCTGGCTATTTGCATTTTAATTGCAGTCATGAGAAGAAGTCTTTCAGAGATTTAGGAATAAATTGTTTGCAGCAGGTAGCCAGAATTTCCTGTGAGGGTAAAAGCTCTGTTTTTGTTCTGACCTGTGCTGTGGGGCTCAGGGATGTTCCAAAGTCTGGTACTGACGACAGCCAGTACAAAATGCGAAGCAAATATTTTACTGAAGAGTAGCCCAAAGTAACTTAAGTACCTAGGAGTCAGAAGAAGGTCGTTATTTAATCGCTTAAGGCAATCTAGAAACCTTCCCCTCCAGTCAGCCGCAAGCTCTTCCATATTGACAGGAGCACTTGGGAGTTGGCGTCACTCTTCAGAAGAGCCACCCAGTTAGGAGTAGTACTGTCAGTCCCATCCAGGTCATGGCGAGGGCTGTTATTTGAAGTGACGTGTTTCTACTGACCTTCATGTCAGGAGCCGCGTTAGTGGGAGACGACCTTCGTGTGAGGAGCCGCGTTAGTGGGAGGCGACCTTCGTGTGAGGAGCCGCGTTAGTGGGAGGCGACCTTCGTCTTCATGTCAGGAGCCGCGTTAGTGGGAGACGACCTTCGTGTGAGGAGCCGCGTTAGTGGGAGGCGACCTTCGTGTGAGGAGCCGCGTTAGTGGGAGGTGACCTTCATGTGAGGAGCCGCGTTAGTGGGAGGTATACCTGGGCTCCTGTTTTCTCCATGCTCATCTCTTACAGCATGGTTCTGGGCCCTCAGAGCAGCAGTCCCTTGGAGATGGGCAACAATTTGCTGTGTGTTGGGAGAGGATCTTGGGATCTTCATTGCAGAAGTGAGGATAAGGTTTGGACTCCTGGCAGTGTGGGGGACTGTGTGAGGGACTGTGTCACAGCTGTGTGTGTCATAGCCTGTGGTGACACGTGTGGGCTTTTACTTTAGCCCTGATTACGAAGTAGCTTTTGGAATTGATCCTCAGTGTCAGTTGGTGTCCTTGGCACCCAGCACAGTGGCTGGTTACTACACGCTGGTCAGTGAGCAGGTGGGCAGATGAGGGTGTGTGTGTGTGCGCACGTGCTTCTGCTCGTGGGAAAACGCCTTCAGAATGGTCTCGTTGGTGCCCCCAGGACTCGGAGGACCCTCCTTGGGCCCATCTCTGGGTAGAAGAGAGGCGTCACTCTGCATGCTTTCTGCTGGTCGTCTTTCTCTTGTCATCTGTACTGGGGGATTCTGGTTTTGTCGTCTTCACTGGAAGGCTGAGTGTCATGCAGGGTAGGTTAGTGTAAAGCAGTTCACGAGGCTTCTGCTTGCCTCTATTCAGAATAAGTAGGCACCAGGCGCCAGAGCAAGGGCAGGAGCAGCCGGTCAGATGTGCTCGCAGAACTTTGGGCTGCTGCCTCCGCGCGTCGCGTTGGAGTACTGGCTTTGTGTAGTGCCTTTCGTCCCAGGTAGGGACTGTGACCTGGAAGCCTTCGTGTGAGTTTCAGTCCTATACCTTGTAGAGATACTGGGCCATGGGACCACGTTTCACTCCTCTTTTCAGGGCTTCTCTGTGTGCTACTAGAGATGTAGAGTTTGTTCAGGAAGAAAAGAAAAGCCGTGTCTGGGAATTGGAGTGACAGGTTGCGCGCTTTCCTCGGTACGGTCTTGGAAGGTTGCACAGTGCAAGCGCTCACCTCTGCACGCCAGCTCCCAGCCTCACTGCGGGCCCCAAGCCTAGACCTGCCTCGCTCTGCCAGCCCTCACTGACTTTGCTCTCTTGTAGAACTTCACACCACAACCGGGAGCCTTCCTTCAACAACCCCCGTGTCTCCATCGGCCATCTCGACACAGAACCTGGTCATGTCGTCAGCAGGCGTGGGCGGGGATGCCAGCGTCACGCTGACCCTGGCTGATGCTCAGGGTGTGCTGTCTGGAGGTCTGGACACCGTCACTCTCAACATCACTTCTCAGGTAAGTACCCTTTGGAGGGACTACAGGGACTCTTAGAAATTAGTGTCCATGTCCTTTCAGACTTGAGGTGGGGTGTGTGTGTGTATGTGAGATTAAAGTACGTAGTAGCAAATGTGAAAGGCAGAAAGGAATTCAGGCAATACAGGGAAGTATAAATATTAAAGAATCCCTTCTTTTAACCCTACTACCTGCACGGATCTGTGGTTAACATTTTAATGTACACACCCTTCTAACCTTTCCCTGCATGTGTACAGACACATATTTTTTAAAGTTTGCAGTGGGTCCAGCAGGTGGCATGATGGTTGGGGCGCTGAGCTCTCTCCCACATGGCTAACCGCACTTGGAGTCCTGGACCTGGTGGCTTGCTCTCTCACTCCCCCCGCTTCCCTGTCTCTCTCTAGAGAATGCTGTGCCCTGTAGCAAATTGAAAAGTAATGATGATAAGTAAGACTAAATGATTCTTTAAAAAAAAATGTTGCAGAGGTGGACTCACATGCACATCTCCAGCGAAGCTTTCTCTGTGCTTGCTCTGCCATGAGCGTCTCCCCTCAGGGCTGCCAGCAGTGTGCCATGTTATGTTCAGTTTTGCCAAGGAGCTGCACCGAGGGCTGTGATGTTTCAGTGGAGGTTTGGATACACAGTGTGCAGACATTCTGCCTGCATTCTCTCCCTTCGGGTCTTAGAGGCATTTTTGCCGGTAGCCATGAGGGATCCAATGATGTGCATCTTCACTGATGCCACGCCCGGTGCTGGTACTTGGCAAGGTTTAGCTAGAAATCCCAAGACAGATAGCGAGTAGGTTTAATTAGGGTTAGTTACGAAGAAGCAGGTCAGAGCGTTGGTAGTTGGGCATGACAGACTCCCTTGGCTGATCCACCTCATTCTCCAGATGTGCTGTGTGGTCCAGGTTGTCACAGAGCAGGTGTGCCTGGTCCGGCGGTGACAGAGCAGACGTGCCTGGTCCGACATTGGCACAGGAGACATGCCTGGTCTGGGCGGTATCAGAGCAGACGTGCGTGGTCCAGTGGTGGCAGAGCAGACGTGCCTGGTCCGGCGGTGACAGAGCAAATGAGCCCCCAGGGCTTGGCTCTTCAGCCCAGAGGCTTTCTTGGCCACGGAGCACACTCTCCGAATGTCCTAGCTCTGCCTCCAAAGCCCACTGCACGAAGAGAGTCCCACCTTTCGTATCTGCACCAAGATTGGCCTAATACGAACTTGTCAGACGACAGGGTGGGCAGAGGGGAAAACGGAGTGTGCACGTGTGTGCTTGACTCTGTGGAGCAGTGACTTCTAGGTGCTGGCCCTGGGTCCATGCCATGGTGGCATGTCCTCGGCCTCGTCCGAGGCTGTGTGCAGTCACCTCCATTGGTGCCGTCAGCAATGGTTGTGGCTGTGGGATGTGTACACTCCTCTGGCCGGCAGGCCTTTCTCCAGACTCTCGCTGAGGCCCCCAGCCCGGCATCAGCGCCTCCCCAGGAGCACAGGTACCGTGCAGGTGAGGGCCATCGCCTGGCTGAGCAGCACCCCGTCCCCCGGTCCTGCCCGGCTGCCCTCAGCAGGTAGGCTCCGGCATAGACAGTGCAGCCGCCACGTGCCTTGGCACCCCTCCTGGAGCTGATGCAGGAGCAGGTGTCTGCATGTCTCATGGCCACTGTCCCGGTGTCACTCCACACCTGGTACGGCCTTGTTCTTGGCCTAGAGACCAAATGGAGGTGCTGCAGCTAACACCAGGGTTGGCACAGAGTAGCCCCTTACAGCCTAGATGGCTGGGGTCACTTTTCCTCAGTGGAGGAAGCTTAGCTCTTCTGTGGTGGCTTGGCTACACGACATTGTTTCCTACCCACAGTTCTTGTCACTGTGTCACAGGGCCAAGTGGTGGCCACTGAGGTCTGGAGCAGGGGCTGTGGGGGCGGGGAGCAGGCCCACGTCAGGCTTCTGCGCACCACTCAGAGGTCTCTTCAGGCCCAGACCCACGCACAGCTTGCTCCACGGCGTCGCTGTGCCTCCCAGCTTTTCCTTTGCTGCCGGTTGCTCTTGTGCCCTCATGGCGATGGCAGCGAGCAGGACCCATGCCCAGGTGCCCTTCAGCACCTCTGTGACTCCCTAGGCATCATACACCTCTGGCCGCCATGGCAGCAGCTTCCGTCTGTGGGCACGTCAGTCTGCTTCCAGGACCTGCGGTGTTTTGTTCACTGGGTATACTTGGACGCCAAGAAGTAAAAAGTATTCGAAGTCTAAGTTTTAATCCGATTAAATGCATTCGGATAATCTCGGGAGGTGGGGATGGAATTTAAGCAGGAAATGCCAGAGAGCCCCATGTCTCAAGGGTGCTGCACGTGCCTGTCGTTGGCTTGTGTCACCGTGCGATTCCTCACCCCGGATTAGTGCGTGCTTGGTACAGCTAGCTGTGTTTCAGGTGTCAGGGTGCCCTGTGTGTCTGTGCAGAAGGTGTGGTGTTGGGTGGTCCTTCCAGAGGGTCCAGGAGGGCCCATTGGAGACGCAGGGATGACTGAGGTGCCGGGGCGGCCTTGCTCAGGTGTGTGAAGATGATGGCTCGGCCCTCCCTAAAGCCGACTCCAGGTCCCTGCAGTGGCCTGCACATCCCAGTCCTCCCCCGTGCTCTCCTGTGACCGAGGCCCATCATAGTCCTGTCATCCAGAGCTTCCTGCGGCTCTTCCGGCTGGCCTCCCTCTCTCCTCCCAGCACGTGACCAGGGCCAGGGGGCTGTGTTGAAAGCAGCCATGCTGAACTGCAGGTTCTCTCTCCGAGCTCCCCATTGTGTGAGACAGTGTCTGCTCTGTGTCTGGGCGGCCCCTCCACACATGCACACCCAGTTCTTTTCCACATGCCACCCTCCCAGCCGAGCCGAGGAGTGAGGGAGGGTTTGGACGATGGCCTCTCTCTGGCAGTCCTGCCCATGGCTGCTGAGGAGCATGGTCCACGCCAGGCCGTTGGGGCCAGCCGGGGCTGCCCCAACCCCCGTGCCTCTGTGGTCCTGTGGCCTCACCTGCAGTTGCTTGGCCGGGGGTCAGTTTCCACTGGACTTCTGAGTATTAGGTCACTTCCATGTGCTCTTTTCTGTACTTTTCAACTATTACCAAACACTGAATCTTTCAACTCAAATTGATCCGTTACCATACACTGTCCAAAAGTAACTTGAAAACCTGCTGTAGAAATTGTAGAGCTCAGACTGGCTCTGGTGCCCAGTGGGGAGGGGAGCCGGATCTCACGCGGCAGCTTAAGCACGCTGAGTGTGTACACGTGTGCGTGACTAGGGTCCTGACAGGAAGGAGAAGTGAGGAGGGTGTGCGGCACGACCATGTCCCGCATGAGAGGGAGGTGCTTTCTCCCCCTCTCTCTCTTTCTGACTCTCTAGTAAACTTACCCTCTGACAGAATTTTTAAAGCAATTATGGAGCTTTATTTAAATTTCTTCTCTATTAGCTGACAAACTTTATTAGTCTTATACAATTATAATTTAGTACTCTTAAAATATGGAAAAACAGATTAAATTATTCTTAGCTTAGAGTGGTATTTCCTAAAATATATTGAAGCCTTGTACAAATAAAATCGAATGATGTTATTGAGAGATTAATTAATGTTAAAGAATCTGTAACTGTGTAAATTAGTATGGTTGTTATCATGAGAAATTTGATCTGAAAATCAGAACATAATTATGAGCCCTTACCCTGTTTCTAACGAGAATTGCTCAGTGGAAGCAGCGGTGTTCACGGAGTGAGGAGCAGGTGGGTGGTCCCGGCCGTGCCATTACGTGCGCTCCGTGAGTCTGGAGAGGTCAGCGTCTGGGTACAGCTTGCCGAGAGTGATCAGAGCACGCAGCACGGCCCACGTGAACACTGTGCCCTGTACACGAAGGGGGTCAGGCTGTTCTGGAGGGCCAAAAGGAGACGGGATATCAGCATTTCTATTACCATGAATTTTAAAAAGGCGAAGATTACATTTCTTATATATTATCGCCACCATCTGTTACTGCGTTGCTTATAGAGACAGGCAGCACTGGGTGCTTTTACAAAGGAACAGAGGTCCGTTCTGCCCGTGGTCTGCAGGGCGGGGGCCAGGGCCTGCGTCTGGAGAGGCTGCAGCCTGGCAGAGAGGTGACTGAGCTCCCTGCTCCTCTCCCTCCTCGTAAGCATCCCAGGGCTCAGTGTAGGGCCCTGCTCTAATGACGGGGTAGATGGATTACACCCAGAGGCCACTGGGCAGCATGAAGGATGGAGTTCCCACTTAATGTCCTTATAGTACAAAAATATCCCACATCTGAAGTCTTAGGAGACACCCAAACTCAAAAACATGAACCTTTGGGGATGAACCATAATACTTGTTTTTCCTGCCTTTATAAATGCTATGAAAGAAAATGGTTGTGAAAACCAAGCAGGGTGATCTGAAACGGCTCACTTTGCCTAATGCCCTCACGCAGTGGGCTGAGCCCCAAGGCCCCCTCTGCCTGGTGACCTGCTCTGAGACGGCGTCTTTCCCATAAGAGTGGCCCAGACGTTTCTGATGGGGACGTAGCTCAGCCCAGCTCTCCCCTCTGGTTCACGCCATTCAGCCCTTGTCTTCCCTGTGGGGCTCAGCTTGAGGGCTTCACCCAAAGACTCTGCCCTTAGGTGCCAGAGACAGCAGCCCTGCCCTGTGGGCACACCACGGGTGTGCTTGGGGATTGTGCAGAGAGTTGGTTTTGATTGGGCAACACCAGTGGCGTCCAGAGCTGTTTCTGAAAACAGCATCAGTGGCACGAGGTTAGGCTTTGACGCTGTGGTGCCCTCTGCTGGTGCCGTCCCTCGCTCCCTCCCGCTGTCCCGAAGTCCCACTGTCCCGCCTTCCCACTGCCACGTGCCTGCTCTTCTCGCGTAAGGGGTGGTAACAGTGGGTTTTTGTAGCACAGCACAACTGTTCATGTGCTTTTTACGTACACACACACGCGCGCATGCGTGCATGCTCACACCCAGAGTAACATTAGTGGGATGTGGTTTCTACACCTAAAGTATACACTGAGTGGTTTCGTACTTACGGAGTCGTGCTGCCGTCCCTGTGATCTAAGAAGTTCTGTCACCCCAGAGAAGCCTGGAGCCAGCAGCTGTACCCCACACACTCCCACCCGGGCCCGGCCTCTCCCCAGGCCGGGGAACCCCTAGTCTGCTGTCTGTCTCTGTGGGTCGTCTGTTCTGAATATTTCATAGAGACAGAATCATGCAACATGTGGGCCTCTGTGATGGCTTTTCTACTGAGCATCATGTGTTTGAGGTCCCTCCATGACAGTGTGTCAGGACTTCATCCCTTTTAAAAAAAAAAAAAAGCTTTTTGCCGTAGGGTGCATGCACTCATCAGAGAGAGGCAGACACAGAGAAGTGGAAAGTGAGAAATCACCCCCAGAGGGGATGCCCACGCATCTTTTCCCTTCTTTTCCCTTCTCCTCTTGTGATTTGGGCATGCGCACACAGCTGGTGTAATTTTCCTGTCACCGGGTCCAGGACATGAACCACATTCAGCCATGTGAGAGTCCCGCACCTTAACCACTACGCCACTTGCTGGCCCCAGGTCTTTGTCCCTTTTATTGCTGAGTGCTGCTCCCGTGGCTGGGTCGCCACCTGGTGATGCTGTGTTGGTCGGTCGCAGGGCGTGTGGCTGTGTCCTCTCTGCGGCTGGCATGGACCTGCCGGCCCACACTTCACAGGGCTGGGGGTGTAGAGGCTCCCGCTGCTCTCGGGCTGGTGGGCAGGGTACCGCCTGCCGCAAACTCAGGACTGCTGGTCTGTCTGCCAAAGCGGCTGTGCCATACAAGATTTTTAAGTGATTACTTGATTTGGTAATGTTACTACTTCTGAAATGGCGGTGTTTTGCCAGGGCCAGCAGTTCCCGGCGCTGCTCACGGATCCTTCCCTCTCAGGCCAAGGTGGAGCAGGCTCCCCGCAGGTGATCCTGGTGAGCCACACCCCCCAGCCGTCCTCAGCCACCTGTGAAGAGATTGCCTACCAGGTAAGCGCGGACTGGTTTGCTCAGTGCTGTTGTAGCATTTCGAGCAGCAGGAGGGCTCAGAAGGGTTGGTGCAGAGAGAGGGGACATCCTGTGGCCAGGTGGTGGGCCTGGGCCCTGCGTATATCCCCAGTCGAGTCCTGGTGCACTGAGGTGCTGAGCTCTGAGCATCTGCAGTGCGTGGTGACGACGCAGCCCACCCACCGCGGTTGTCTAGGGGTGAGGTTTTGCTGCCTCACTGCCAGATGTGGCCGTCGGTGCCGGGCAGCTCTGGTCTGCACCTCAGGCTGCACAGCCAGTCTTGCCTTCATTCTCTCCACAGTAGGATGTTACTGATTCTAGAGTCTTACTGTGGTTTCACATACACGTACGTGTACGTTTGAGTGTGTAAGACCTAGGATGGGATGAGACTTTTCTTAAAGTGTACGTTTTGGGGGCCAAGAGTCTTAAAAACTCTTGCTCTGAATTTTTTTCAGAGTTAAAAGTAAAGCACAGTATGAAAGTCTATCTCTAAATGTAAGAAACATTAAACTTTCTACTTAAACGTTTTTAGCAAACGAGTTTTTAAAATAATCACTCAGTGGGTTTTCAGTGGGATAAGGTTTATTTTTAATTTTTTTTTTGAGAGAGAATTTTGCTATAGGATGTGTGTGCTCACCAGAGAGACGGAGAGAGACAGAGAGCAAGAATTTACCACCCTCCACCGGAAGATGGCCATGCTGCAATCCCTACTCCTCCAGGCGCCTCTTGAGATTTGGGGCATGCATGTACAAGGGCCTGGCATGTTTTAAGCCACCAGGTCTGGGACTTGAACCATAGCTGACTACGTGGGAGTCCAGCAATGTAACCATTACACCATCTGCTGGTCCCAGGATAAGGTTTTTCTTAAGGTTTTTGTCATAGGCAGATATACTCACTAGAGAAAGAGAGGGAGAGTGAGACTCCCCAGGGGACATGGCCCTGAGTATGTGGGTGGTGGGTCTGGGCCCTGACACCCTTGACAAGCGAGAGGTCTGGTTTTGTTCAGTGTTCTGCGTGACGTGTCGCTGAGCATATTCTTACCCGGCAGGGCAGAACAGCCTACAGAAACATTTAATTCGGTACTGTCGAAGCTCTCTGACTCGCAAGAAATATGTGTTGTGCAGTTCCCTGAGCACATACGATGTCGGTGGCTTGTTTTCTTTGTGGACACATACACCCGACATGGTGTCACAGGATGATACCGTGCCATGCCTGTCCATGCGTGCGACCTCTTCCTTTCAGCCCAGGTCCTTTCTTCCGTCCTGTTCTTCCCGCGATGGCGGAAGGAACCACAGCAGAACGCCTGGAGAGGTCGCTGTAGCCGCCGAGCAGTTTTCTTTAGTGTGTGTCCGTTCTGTATTCCCCGCGTTCTGGAAGCTCTTGGTAAATTATCTAGGGATAAACTTGAACCATAGCTGACTACGTGGGAGTCCAGCAATGTAACCATTACACCATCTGCTGGTCCCAGGATAAGGTTTTTCTTAAGGTTTTTGTCATAGGCAGATATACTCACTAGAGAAAGAGAGGGAGAGTGAGACTCCCCAGGGGACATGGCCCTGAGTATGTGGGTGGTGGGTCTGGGCCCTGACACCCTTGACAAGCGAGAGGTCTGGTTTTGTTCAGTGTTCTGCGTGACGTGTCGCTGAGCATATTCTTACCCGGCAGGGCAGAACAGCCTACAGAAACATTTAATTCGGTACTGTCGAAGCTCTCTGACTCGCAAGAAATATGTGTTGTGCAGTTCCCTGAGCACATACGATGTCGGTGGCTTGTTTTCTTTGTGGACACATACACCCGACATGGTGTCACAGGATGATACCGTGCCATGCCTGTCCATGCGTGCGACCTCTTCCTTTCAGCCCAGGTCCTTTCTTCCGTCCTGTTCTTCCCGCGATGGCGGAAGGAACCACAGCAGAACGCCTGGAGAGGTCGCTGTAGCCGCCGAGCAGTTTTCTTTAGTGTGTGTCCGTTCTGTATTCCCCGCGTTCTGGAAGCTCTTGGTAAATTATCTAGGGATAATAAACATGCTGGCAGACTTCACCAGATTGTTAATGACTGTGTCCTTGTTGCCATGTGAAGTAGCCTTCCTCGGCGACACTGAAGTCTGTAGTTTCTGAAGCTGAGTAAGACGCCCTCCTACTGTAGTATTTTTTAAAGTGACAGTGGCATCCTGTTAAAATGATTGGAAAACCTTCTAATTGTGATCCACGGCTTGGGGAGAATGCTCAGTAGCTAAAAGCACCTTTGCTGTCCGGGGTTACTGACTGTCGTCTGCTCAGGACGACCTTCAGCTGAAGCGGCCGCATTGTCAGCAGAGCCTTGGACACCTGTTGGGGGGAAGCCAGAGCAGCTGCAGCTGTGGAGTGCATCCATGGACTGCAGCGCTCAGGCCCCATGCATGGCTCCCATGTCACCCCCGTATCCCTGGCAGGTGGCCTGGTTGTGTGACCCAGGCCCTAACGTCTGAGCTGGAGCTGGGGCAGCGGGCTGGCTCCCAGGTCCATCCGAGAGCCTCCCGCCATCCAGCTCCTGCTCCAGTCAGCGTTTCGTGGACTCCACGGCAGTAGTGTGGGTCCTGGTCCGGTCTAACTCAGGGGCGTCCCTGGCTAAACCTACCCGTGGCGAGGTGTGTGTAGCGTGGGCCACAGGCATCGTCGGTTGGCCGCCGTCGTCTCTCTGGTGGTCCGTCAGTTCTCGTGATGGGCTGGTAGTGCGCGTGGCAAGTCACGGAATTTCTGACCCCTGCCAGGTGGCTGACGTCTCTGCAAGCCTGGCCCCGAGCAGCCAGCCCGAGAAGGAAGGCCGGGCACACCAGTGTGTGGAGTGTGACCGCGCCTTCTCGTCCGCCGCGGTGCTGCTGCACCACAGCAAGGAGGTGCACGGCCAGGAGCGCATCCATGGCTGCCACGTGTGCAGGAAGGCCTTCAAACGCGCCACACACCTCAAGGCAAGGCTTGCGTGGTGGACGGGCGGGTGGTGTCCAGCATGGGGCCTGCACTGACACTCAGGGACTCCCAAGCTCTCAGGCTCACAGTCCTAAACTTACTCGCCTGAATGAAAGACCTGAAAGATGAATTTCTTTGTATTTTTGAGCATAAGGACAGTGAATATAAGTGTATTTGCCAGGTTTTAGTTGAAAGGGTCTGACGTGGTGGACAGGACAGCAGACTGCATGTCACCTGCAGCAGAGCTGGTCCTGACACCAGGTTAGATGTCGCCCAGGCACCGTTCTCACCATTCAGAAGTGCGTGAAGGTAAAGTCGGGCCGCTTGATTGTCAGCGCCCGGGAACAGGAGTCTGATGCTGGTGAGGCGGCAGCCAGGCAGACGTGGAGCAGGGAGCAGGCGGCCTCAGAGCGCGTGCACATGCCCACTGCCTGCACCGGGGAAGAGCCTGAGCCCTGCCCTTTCCCCGACCCGCGTAGTCACGTGTAGTGCACCACGTAGGCGCTGCACCAGAGCTGGGAGCATCCAGAGGGCGGGGAGTTCAGCCGTCTCCTCCTGCACCTCCTTAGACCCCCCCCCTAGTTGGTGGCTCTGGGCTCTGAGCCATGGCAGGAGTGCAGTCACAGGGGATACATGGTAATGGGCCCTCTTCCCCGATTGCTGCTCTAGGGCAGGGGGTGGCTGGGACCCGTGATGCTTGGGATGACCGCTGCCCACCGTAAATCACTGGGGCTTCACCGGGGCACTCAGGACGGGCTCAGCCCCAGACTGCTACAGTGCTGCCCTGCAGCGTCAGAAGCTGGAAACCACTCGGTCTCACGGGACACACGTGGTGTGTGACCAGAACAGCCTGCCCTGGAATGACCTGCAGGTGTCTCGTGAGACCACACGTCAGCCCACATGGCAGAAATCTCCAGTTCCAGGCTAGGGGCTGCAGAGGGCCTCTTCCACCTTCAGAGCAGCCTCGCGTGAGCCTAGGTGCTATGGCTGTTGCTTGGGGCACGCACTGGGCCCAGGCCAAAGAACTGTGAGCGGTGAAGCTCAGGCCTACCTGGGCTTCTCTGCGAGGCTGACACCCGTTGCCCTGCAGCCACAGTTAGAGGGCCCAGCTCTTGATAACTGTCGGGGATGAGTCCTGGCCCTATCCTTGTCAGCCTGGCATTTCTGTGGTGGCTCGTTTTGCCGTCACTGTCTGGAACCTCTGGATCTCCTGCTGAGCCTATACCCGGTTTCCGCACTCCCGCAGGAGCATATGCAGACGCACCAGGCCGGCCCGTCCTTAAGCTCCCAGAAGCCGAGAGTGTTTAAGTGTGACACTTGTGAAAAGGCGTTTGCCAAGCCGAGCCAGCTGGAACGACACAGCCGCATCCACACAGGTAAGGGGCGTGCTGCGCGTTGGCATCATCACTCTGGAGCAGGCTGTGCTGCCGAGCAGGCGGTTGAACCTGGCAATCCCAGTGCATTGCGCCACTGTACAACACGCGTGTTTGCTGTCGTCCGCTTCCCCTGACTTTCACAGGGGCATGCGCTCACCAGTGAGACAGAGCAGGCAGCAGTGAGAAGGCATCCCCAGGGGCCAGCCATGCCGCGATCCTCTCTTCACTCCCCTCTTGGGATTTTGAGCGTGCGCATACATGCTCAGCCTGATTTTCAAACTGCCAGGTCTTGGACTCAGACTGCCGTCGGCCATGTGGGACCCAGCCGCCTTCACCTCCGTGCCACTTCCTGGCCCGGTCAGTTTATAACCCTGGCTGACTGTTTCAAGTAAGAGCTTTTGCTGTCCACACGATGACCACTGGAAGCAGCAGCTCATCCCCACTCCCCACCCCGGCCAGCCTGCCTTCCCCTGCCGG